TTGGCAGATGAGATTCAGGAGGCTGAGGTCAGAAATCTTGCGGGGAATGGGAGAGAGGTGTTAGCATACTGAAAGTAAAAAGTATCCTGACTCTCTAGACGAGTGAGCTTGGTGTCAACTCTCGGGGAAAATTCTGGACTAGATTATTCAGCAAGTAGGCTGTGAACACTCCGTAAGGGAAACATCCCTGAGAGTCAGCATGGCCTCCTGAACGGTCAGACCTGCCAGCACACCCTCACTGCCTTTTTAGAAATAAGTTACTTATTTCTACCTGGTAGACAAAGGAAGTACTGTAGAGCTTTTATAGGTGGGGTTTAGTAAGACATTTTGAGAATGTCCTCTGATATCATTGTTGGCAAGACAGAGAAATGTCCACAGAGCATCCAGGAGGGGGAGGGGCTTGGTGATGGGATGGTTGGGTTGGTTTATAGTTGGTTGAGTGAGCATACCCAAGAGTACTGATGTCAGTCTGTCAATCTGTTTGCCTGGCCCTGTCCTGTTCACTGTTAGTCAAAGCCTGGGATGAGAACACGGGTGGCAGTTTATCAGCTCTGTCAGTGATGTGAAGTCAGAAGGGAAAGCTGATATGATGAATGCCAGAGTCCGCTTTCAGGAATATCCGAGCTGCCTAAAACACTAGCCAGACAGTGCGGAGTTCTGCTTTTAGCTCCAAAAACTCCACAGGACCTACAAGGTGGGGGCGAAGAGGTCTCAGTGCAGCCCGTGGGAGAAAGCCTCAGTGCAGCACAGGGGAGTGCAGTATGAGTTGGCAGTGCGATTAGGTTACAAGGAATAGACAATCTGATGACAGTTTTAATAGAAATAAAATATCCTGCACAAGAAAGCCCCTAGTCCCTCTGTGATCTGCACTGGTTAGGCCACATCATATATTTATTTCCACACACAGCCCTTCACTTCCGGACACGACGCTCTGGCTTTACGAGCTAGAGTGAATTCATAGGAGAGTGATGTGGATGGACAGAAGAGACCAGAACCTTGTCTTGAAAATATAATTGGAAGTTGGGGCCACAAATTCTGGAAAAGAGAAACTGTTGATGGGCAGTGAGAGCGGCTTTAGGGATTTGAAAGGCTGTCATGAGGGTGGATTAAACTTCCTGGGCATCTTGACGATGAGTGGGTGAGAACTACAGGAAGGCCAATTGTGCTCTATAGAAGGAAGATGGCCTTGCCAGTGCCTCCCTCAGCAGGAGAGAGGCCTCAAGGGTTTAGATTGGCCTATAGTTGGGCCTTCCCAGGGCCCGCAGTGTCTGCTCAGGGAGCCAGGACCCCTTTCAAGCCCCATCTCAGAAGCCCCCTCTCTCAAGCTTAGGACAAGGCCTTTGCTCAGAAAGGGGGGCTGACTTGGCCAGAAGCAGATGGACTATGGGCCCAGGGAAAAGGCAAACAAGTCTGTATTAAGCTGTCAGCTTCTTGCAGGAGGAGCAGATAGACTTCTACAGGCAGCCGCTAACATCCTGGTAATGCATTCCAGATATACTTTGAGCACCTAATACATCCCAGACACTGTTAGGTGCTTAGCTTGGGTCATCTCATTTAATCCTATAAAGAAGGAATATTGTTATTTATTTCCATCAAGAGGATACGGAAGCTTAGGGAGAGGTTTAAGTCATTTGCCTGAACCAATGCTTTTAGCCAGTCTGCCGCCTGGGGCAGTAGGTCATCCTTCACCCCTGGCCCCATATCCCTAGCAGTCCCTGTGGGTGTGGACCATGCCTCCCTGGGACCCCTTCTCCCTTCCAGCCCCCAACCTATGCCTTCCCCTCCACTGGGAACTCAGGGAGAAAACAGTCCAGCTGAAAAATTAGGCCATGCTGGCGAGCACACTACTTATTTTTTTTATGACTAAGATTAAGCTGACAACCATGCAAAACATTGCAAACCTGTGTCGGCTGCAGATTTAATACCTCACCCAGCCCACACAAATAATTCATGCTTCTGAATCGATGTCCAGAAAAAACAAATCAGCAAAAAGCTGGGCTCCTGCGTGTGTGTGAGCAGCCGCATTTCCATTGAAGCAGCATGCCGGAAATACCCGAGCTCCAGGACTGCACATCCAGCATTCTGCAGTTTTTTTTCTCTTAAAAGATTAAAGTACGATTTCAAATGATTGAAGGTTGGTGGGAGGTGTAAATGTGGGCACTTGTCACATTAATTCTTCAGATGATTAAGTTCTTTTCCATTTCTTTAAAGCTATTTGCAGTTGGGTTTGATGTCCTCGTTCAGGGTGAGTGTGTTGTAGCAGTTACCAAGGTGACTTTAGCTGACTTTCAACAATTTATTTTTCCCTCCAGCTTGAGATGTCTCTAGTCCTGTGTGCTGTTGATTCTTCTCCCCCAGCCTCCCACCCCCACTCCCAGTTGCTAGTCATCAGCATTTTTGCCTGTGCCAGAGGCGGGGATCCTCCTAGTAGGCCCCTCAGGCTCGGAGGCCCTGCCTGGCAGCCAGGCGTCGGCCTCTTTTGGGAGCAGGATGACATGTCAGTCAGTGTGCACTGTAGTAGTCAGAGGTGGCACAGGGAAGCAATTGTAAGAGTCACGCCCTGGCTCTTCCACTTAAACTCACTCTGTGACCTTAGGCTTGTCACCGCACCTCTCTGAGCCTCAGTTTCCTCATCTGTAAAAGAAGGGTTAGCCTAGAACAGCCGTGGGCAAACTACGGCCCGAGGGCCGGATCCAGCTTGTTCGGCTGTTCTATCCGGCCCGCGGAGCTGAAAGAGTGGAGGGTTCTCTTGCTCTCCCCTCTGCTCCTTCAGCAGCAGTGTTAACATGTATTAGTTCACACAAACACTCCATCCATGCTTTTGTTCCGGCCCTCCGGTCCAGTTTAAGAACCCATTGTGGCCCTCGAGTCAAAAAGTTTGCCCACCCCCGGCCTAGAATCTCCCTGGGGTATTTGATGCAAGGACTCAGAAAATCTATGGGCTCCTAACTCTGGAGCAGAGGAGGGGCTCCGGCAGGAGAGCTCTCCTGAGTCCGCCCTTGCCTGGGCTTGGGGAGGAGGTGGTGTTTGGTGTTGCTCTCCTTTCTGGGGAGGGAGGCAGGAGGCCTAGCGGCTGGATATAAGAGAGAACGTTGGTCAGAGGTCCTAGGCTCCCACACTGGCCTGCCGCAGACCAGCTCTGTGTCCTGGATCTATTTTGTAAAGGAAAGAGGGAGATTAAACAACCTGAGTTTCCTCCGAGTGCTGAAATTCTGTGACCCTCTGACCAGAGCATTTGTCTCCTCGGGTCTTGTGAAAGGGTTTGTCAAAGGAGAAGCGAGAGCAAAGGGCAGTTTCAGAATTGGCTTTGGGAAACCAAGGGGAGGGAGTGCTCGGTGAAAGAGCAGTCACATACATCCGGGAGTGGGTCCACCCAGCTCATGGGAGGTCCCCATTACCTCAGGGGCTTTTATTAGCCCATGTCACCCTCCAGCCTCTTGCCTGCTGACCTCATACCTCCCTCTGGGGAGGTCCTCTGCCTCACTGGCCACAGATCCCAGCTCAGCCTTCCAGTGTGTGAGGAGGTTGGCCCTGCCCCTCACTGGCTCTCCGCCTGTCAGGCCCAGACATCCTGGGTGGCTTTGGCCACTTGAATTATAAATAACTAGAGCTTCTCACCCAGTATTTTGATGGACACTAGGGAATTGTTCTGAGATTCACTGCCCAAACCAGGTTCCGGCCTTTTGAATGGGATCAGTGGGTAACCCTCATTTCTGGCTGAGGCAGATTTGAGGCGTTTCAGTAGGGGCAGCTGAACTTGAAAAAGCAAATCTTAGATTGCAATGGGACCTCGTGGCTGAGCTGTGGGACAAGCTGCTGGTAGAAAGCAGGACAGGAGGGAGTATGAGGCAGCAATGACAGCTCACTGTGGCCAAGGCCATACTCAGACTATGGTTCAGGGCTCTGCAGCCCGTCCAGGCTCACTGGTCTGCCTCCTGAGAGCCTGGCTTCCACCCCCTCGCTGAGGACTGCATCATTTCCTGCTTAGACGAAGGATGTGTATGTCACTGCAGCTCCTGGCCATTAGCAGAAGTATGTAAGCCTAGAGCCTTTCAGAGTCAGCTGGAAGGAAGCTCTTGGAGCCTGTCTCCTGGGTTTCTAGCAGCCACAGAGAACTCGGAGTCCGAGGCTCCAGGGTCAGAGAAGAAGGACCCCAGAAGCTCCTGCTGCTGTCATAGGGAAAAACAAGTCACCGTGACATAAACATTTATACAGTGTGTTGGCCAAAGATGCGAGCTTCAGAGCCAGATCTATCTGTGACCACATCTCAGCTTCACACTTCCTGGCTGTGCAGCCTGGACAAGTTACTTACCCTCTCTGATCCTCAGTTCCTTATCTGTAAAGGAATAGAATAGTTATGCCCACCTCGTGGGGTGTTGTAAGATTGCTTGGCAAGTTCTTTTTTTAATTAAAATTTTTTAATATTTTATCCATCACCATTTATCCCTTCTATGCCCTCTTCCACTTCCGCCTGCCCCCACCACCTGCAATCACCACACTGTCGTCCATGTCCATGAGTTCTCATTCTTTTTGTTCCTTTTTGCTCAGTCCCTCCACCAACCCCCCAACACCCCCTCCCCACCCAGAGCTGTCTGCCTGCTCTCTATGAGTCAGTCTCTGTTTTGCTTGGTAGTTCTTTCGTTCATTAACTTCCACATGAGTGCAATCATATGGTACTTGTCTTTCTCTGACTGGCTTATTTCACTTAGCATAATGTTCTCCAGATCCATCCATGCTGTCGCAAAAGGGTAATATTTTTTCCTTTTTTCAGGAGAGTAGTACTCCATTGTATAAATCTACCACAGCTTTTTTATCCACTCATCTACTTATGGAGACTTTGGCTGCTTCCAAATCTTGGCTGGGCAGATTCTTATTGAGTGGTGGCTATTGTTATCTTTACCATCAATGACTGCCATTGTCGTTGTTCAGGATCCCAGCCTGGGAGACTCCCGTCTTGTTCCGCCCTGTGGTCAGAACTTATTCCTGTGCTTGCTTCACAGGAGCCGCAAAGACAGCCTGGAAAGCGACAGCTCCACAGCCATTATCCCCCATGAGCTGATCCGCACACGGCAACTTGAGAGTGTACATCTGAAATTCAACCAAGAGTCAGGAGCCCTCATTCCTCTCTGCCTAAGGTGAGAGCCCCACAGCACCCACCTTGGCCTCAAGGAGCCACCGTGCCTGTGCTTGCCATCTCCCCCCACACCTCACTGGAGTCTGGGGCCCTAGGAGGGAGGAGAACTAGTCAGGCAGCTCCATGGAAGCCTGTCGGGGAGCCTGCGGACTCTGAACCGTCCAGTAGCCCCCACTATGCTGAAGATCTCTCCTTTGTCCAGAGAAGTGTCCCTCGGCCCTGTTCCCTTAGGTGGGGATTCAGTGACATAAGGCATCCCAGATGCCCCTGCCCTCCCCCAAACCCAGAGTTAGGGGTGGCAGGGTCCCCATCGCACTGGTGTAGTAGGGCCGGGCTCTGGTGGATTGGGCTCTGCTTTCTCCCGCTTGCTGCTTTTCCCATGTAAAACACTCAGTTCTTCAAACCCAGTGGCCAGTCCAGCAGACTCCTCGAGGGGCCAGGAAGCCCAGCTGTGTCCCTTCTGCTACTGTCCACAGTGCCAGAAACCCAGCCCTGTGTCCAGAGTTCAGCTCTCTGCTTGGGGATGCTGTACTGGGCTGAATCTGTTGCAGCCGGCTTCCTCCACAGCTCTCAGGGGCTCCACCCTGTTTATTGCAGGAGAGGCTACAAGAATAACTCAAAACTCAGACAACAGTGACAAGGAAGAAAGGGCAGGGGAAGAAGGACCCCCAAAAGCTCCTGCTGCTCTCATAGGGAAGAACAAGTCATTGTGACATAAACGTTTGTATAGTGTGTTGGCCAAAGATGTGAGCTTTAGAACCAGATCTGCACTGGTTTGGACCCTCCACACTGTCCCTGGAGCCTGGGGAAGGAACTTGGATGGTGACAGGCTTGGCCAGCCACCCTGGTTAGCAGGGCAAAGATAGCTAGTAGTCAGGATGAATGGCGCTGGCAGGGCCCCCCCTCTCCCCACAGCTAGGACCCTAGGCATTTCCTCCCCAGCTCCCTCTCTGAGCCAGGCTCAGGGCCTTTCGATTATGAAAGGGTTAATCTGGGGCAGCCTGAGAAAGCAAAGAGCAGCTCTGCTTCCTTTGCTGAGTGGCATCTTTGCCCCACTGGTTGCTCTTGCCTGCCCTTCCCCCACAAGTATTTCCAGACTGGGGATTCACAGTGACTTCCTGTGCTCCCTCGGAGTGACCCTACTTGGCTTCAGCTTTTCTTTCTTTCTTTTTTTAAATTAAAAATGGGCTTTTCCCCTTGTGGCTAGTCATTTAAATCTTATGGGAGGTGCACAAGCAGGTGGGAGATTCTGGGCACAGGGCTTGTGCTGTGAAGACACTCCACCATCATCCAAGAGTGGGAAATTAGGAACTACTTCACCCCCATCCTCTAAACAAAGGGGCCGTGACGCACCCACCCCACCTTAGCTCTGGGCATGACCCTGGGTGCACTGCTAACTGCCCTCTGGCCTCACCAGGACATGAAGGAGATGGACTCGACTTCCCCTTCAGGCCCTTTGAATGCTGATCTAGTGTCTCTGCTAGCTTTGAGCACTTTGGAAGAACGCCAGGAGAGAAATCGTGAGAGGCTTCTCTTGGAAGGTGTTGAAATGAACATGTTTCGTTACAGTCCCCGCTGGACTGGTGGGCAGTCAGGAGGGCATGTGCCAGGCATCCTGTCCCAGGGAGCATAGCCCCAGTCCCTGAGCCTTGGCCAGGCCTGCTGCTCACTGTCTTCATGTTCCCACCCCCAGGGGCAGGCTCCTGCATGGACGGCACTTTACATATAAAAGTATCACAGGTGACATGGCCATCACATTCGTCTCCACGGGAGTGGAAGGTGCCTTTGCCACTGAGGAGCACCCTTACGCAGCTCATGGACCCTGGTTACAAGTGAGAAGGCTCTTTTTCTTCTTCCCACCTCCTTTCCATGAGCTCTTCCAGCTCCCGTCTCCTCCCTCTCCTCCCTTGGCAGCTCTTGGTGGCTCCCTTCCTGAGGGCTGGTTATGAGAAGCCGTGTGGAGTGTGGTTGCTGCTGCCTATCCCGTCAGCTCCAGGAGCACTTCCTGGCCTCTCCCCTATCACTTGAGACATGAGTGATAACTCTCTAGGCCCTGGCCATTGGTAGTTCTGTTTGCCATGGAAATCCAGGTTTTAGGGATGTGCTCTGCACCCTGGGGAAACCAAGGGTGAAGTAGAATGGGGGGACGTGTGAGGGCCACTCTCGAGTGCCTGTGGAAATCCCACCAGAATTCCTAGAAAATGGGCATGTGGACCTGGAGCTGGGATGGGCAGGCCTCGGCAGGCAGAGCCTCTCCCTCCCCTCATCAAATGGCTCTCCCATTCCTCCTGATGGAGACCCAGCTTCTCTGCACAGAAACCTGCTGGCTTGGCCAGAACACTTTTTTCTCCTTTGCTCTTCTGGCTGGAGCACAGCTTCAGAGCCACTGCCAAACGGGATGCTGGGGCTGACAGCTATAGGCCTCCTTCCAGACCCCACCTTGTTTCAGGCCTCATAGGTACTTGGCCTGGTCCAGGTAAAGTAGAGGAACAACATCCTTGTCTGTTGTTCGTTTGTTGGGCATGCGGGAGGAGGGACACTCTACCTTACCTCTCTCAGGAGTATCAAGAAAGGGACTCTGACCCTAATCAAAAAGTGACCTGCCTTGTTTGTGGGTGAAGGTGGGAGATTACAGGAGAGGAGAAGAGAGTTGTGTGGGGTTTGTGGATTTAACACGGTCTGGGGGACGGGTGATCTGTGAAACATACACACTGTTAGTGTGGGCATGCTTTTGTCTGCATGTGTGTGTTGCCTTGCAGCTCAATTTCTCCTCCTTTAGGCCAGCACTCTTTCCCCCTCCCCCAAAAATACTAACCCTTAATTAAAACAAACAGCAAACAAGGGACACCAACCACACTCCCCAGACTCAGCCAAGGTAGAAATGGAGGCTGGTGCTTTAGGGATATTGTGCTCCATAAATTATCTTGCCTTTTTCCACTGTTGTTATTACATTGTTTCATAACAAAATTACTTTGAACCATAAAGTTATAAATACATTTTAAAAGTCCCTCTTGGTAACATTAAATTTCTGTCCATGTGGTGTTGATAGTTACTGTAGCAAAAGCTCTGAAGTGTAACATTTGAAATTAGCTTAGTACATGTGGAAAGGGCCTCTACACCTCACCCCCAGTGGTGTCCCAGGCCCCCAGGCTGCCTCTGCGGACAGCAGGTAGGAGCAGGCCTCTTGCCTGGGCAGAGCCAGTAAAGAGGGGAAAGGTGGGGACCATGCAGGAGGCCCCAACCCCTGAGAGTTCACAGGACATCATTCCCAGTAGATGACCGAGTGCTGACAGGTCTCAGCAGCAATGTCCTCAGATAACATTAGCGTATATTGAAGGTTCAAGCACGATTTCTTGGGAAAGTAGAGACTGGGGTATCCCAAAACTCAACAAGAAATCCCCCACCCCGTTACATTTTATATCCTCAATTCTGAACCTGTTTTTGGAGTCCCACCTTCCCCTAAGAACATCTTCTTACCCTGAGGAGGGGGTGGTCAGCATCTCCAATTCTCACAAGCGTGGGGACCTTGAGCTCCCACAGACTCAGCAGATGCCATGCTGCCCATCAGTTCCCCTAAAGTTCTGGACCCAACCCTAGTTCCCAAGCCTCCTATCCTCAGCTCTGGCATTCCAGTCCACCTCCGCTCCCCTCATCTCGCCTGCAGCCCCTCAGTGAGCATGAGCACTAGGGCTCTGCTACTCCCATGCACATGGTCCCCTCCCATTCACTGTTGCCTGGGGAACCGGGCGCAGTGGGAACCAGCCGCTGGCTTCAGCATGTTTCAATAAAGTTGCTGTGCTGGGAGCTGCTTAATCAAAGGCCTGTGTTAGGGGCTCATTAGTGTGGTCCACCACAGGGGCCAACTCACAGGGGAGCTCCCAGGAAAGCTGGCTAGGGCCTCACTCCCCAGGCACGCACCCTCACTTACCAAGGGGTTTCTCAGGCCCTTTCCAGAAAGTCCTGGGAAACCTTCTGCCCTGCCCCCAGCCGGTCCTCAGCCATAGTACCAACACCCACAGCAGCCCTCCTCCCCATCCCAGCAGTCAGCATTTTCTGCATCTAACTGCCAGCCTGCTTCCTTTAGGGTCTTGCCACTGTGGTCACAGGCAGCTCCCTAGCTTGTGGGAACCTGGGCCTGTAATTACTTGTGGGCCTGAAGGTCTCCTTCTGAGGCTGGCTGTCTCCCTGGGAATCTGCAGGACCTCCTAGAGGCCTGGGATTAGGCTTGTCACCAGCAAGGGCAAGAGACCCAGACTTTTATGTTCTTGGCTGCTACTTGAACCTTCCTGTTGGTCCCAGCTGAATTGGGAGGGGCTGGATGACTTCTTGCATCAGCCTTCAACAGTCTTGGAAGCCTTCATTTCCAGCCTTGGCACCTTGTTCTGGCTACCAGCCCAGGCCTGTTATCTCTTGGGGGAAAGGCATGGCAAAGACACCCCACATGGGAGGAGAGTGACAAAGGAGAGGATGAGAGAAAAAGGCAGAAAGTGAGGGAATCTGGGCCTGCACCTGTTCTCCATGCTGCTTTTCTCCCTGTCTCTCCAGCCCCAGGAAAGTCAGGCCCCAGCAACACAGAAAGGCAGGGTCATCGGCGACCCCAGGGTGAGCACAGTGGACACGCCCTGCTTCCTGGAGGAGCTGGAGAGGCAGAATCCTGCTCCAGTTCCTGGGCTTCTCAATTTCCAGAGGTGGACACCTTGACTCCCTCTGGCCTACCATCTGCTGTTTTCACCCTCATCGAGATGGTAGAGCCTATCAGCTAACTCTGGAGCTGTGCAGGCAGGTCTTCAGACCCTGGGGGAGGCCTGCCAGCATTCTCTCCTGCCTGCCTTCCCCCAGCATTCTTGGTCTCGGTGGCTTGAACAAGCCCTCTCCCTTGAGTCTATCATCACCATGCTGTTAGTGCTGTGAGTGGGAGCCCAGCCCAGAACTAGGTCATTCATCCGTCCCCAGCCAGGACTGATCTGAAGGGGAGGAAGTCGGCCCCAGAGGTTAGGTAGGGGTCACATCACCAAATATGAGAATATTTTTTTAAGCCCTGCAATGCTTTCTCAGCTGTGTGGTGTCTGACAGCTCACCCAGGTGGTGCTCCCATTCCCAGCCATTCTCTCCCAGCCCTGATGGGAGGTCCCAGGCTTGGGAGAAGACACCCTGCAGCTGTTCTGAGTGGCTCCACCCTACAGGCCAGGTTTAGGGACTCACTGCTGGGCTCTCCTCCTCTGACTCATCACTGTCCTCAGGAAAAGCCCTGCCCTCTCCCCGCCCCACCCACCCACTTGGATGTGTGTGAAAGACGTGGTAATCCCTGGCCCAGGCCCTGGGCAGCTCCTCTTCAGTGGCTCTACGGTCTCTCCTTCCACTGGGGAACCTGGCCACAACTGTTCTCCCGGAAGCCTTTGCTCCGGCTGTCATGGTGACCTCATTGTCTAGGGTACACCCATTAGGGTTTAGATCCTGGCACTGTGCTGGGGAAGTATACCACCCTCCCTTTCAGGAGGTGATGTGATGGCCCACGGTGCCCTCACCAGCCAACCAATAGCCAGAGCAGGAGGAGTCTGAGCCTCCTCCTCTCCACCAGAGCCAGCTTCTCGCCACCCACTGAGAATAGGAAATGAGTGAGGCCTGCCGTGCTGCCACCACTGCAGCAGCCCTACCTGCCACACACGCTGCCCCTGAGCCTGGAGTCTCTAGGCTGTTTTCTGGCTTGTGTCTGTATGTTGGAGTGAGGGGGACACAGACTGGACCGCTTCCTCATCCCTGCCTCCTCCACTGCCATCATGGGTGCCAGAGCAGCTCCTTGGCAGGCCCTGCCCTGTAAACAACACGTTTCCTTCCCTCAGAGAAGGAAGAGAGAGAAGAAGAAATCCAAACTTGTTGGAAAGCAAGAACAACGTGTCTACGAAATGCAGACAAGGCCCCGGACAGAGTGTGGATTGTCATACCAACGGGAAGGAGTGGGCATTGTCAGCACTATTTGCAGACTCAGAAATATCATTGACCACAGACATTTGAATCCGATCTGCAGCATCTGGGCTTCTGCCTGTAGCATAGCCAGACCTGCCCAGGGCAGGCACTGACAAACAATCACTTTTTGAGTTTCTTTTGGAACTTGCTGGGGCCTGGGAAATTGGGCAGCTGTTCACAATCCTCCCTCATCTGTTCACAATCCTCCCTCATCACCGACCAGCCAGGCTGTCCCAAAGTACCTGGTGTGAGTAACTTAGACGAAGTTGTTGGCCTAGATTCCAAGCCCCCTCCCTGATCAAAGGTGGGGTGTGATGAGGGCAAGGAGCTGCAGCCACCAACTCACCCTATTGGTTAAGCCTGTGTCCAAACTCTGTCCCCCTGTGAACTTAGTATTTCTGGCACTCCCCCGCCATGATTTCCTGGAGCACCTATTAAAACCCACATGCCGCCCTAACCGGTTTGGCTCAGTGGATAGAGTGTTGGCCTGCGGACTGAAAGGTCCCAGGTTTGATTCCGGTCAAGGGCATGTACCTTGGTTGCAGGCACATCCCCGGTAGGAGGTGTGTAGGAGGCAGCTGATTGATGTTTCTAACTCTATCCCTCTCCCTTCCTCTGTAAAAAATTAATAAAATATATTTAAAAATAATAATAATAGCCGAAGCCGGTTTGGCTCAGTGGATAGAGCGTCGGCCTGCGGACTGAAAGGTCCCACGTTCGATTCCGGTCAAGGGCATGTACCTGGGTTGCGGGCACATCCCCGGTGGGGGATGTGCAGGAGGCGGCTGATCGATGTTTCTCTCTCATTGATGTTTCTGACTCTCTGTCTCTCTCCCTTCCTCTCTGTAAAAAATTAATAAAATTTAAAAATAATAATAATAATAATAAAACGCACATGCCTTGGCCTTGCCCAGGATATTCTGATTCCGGAGGTCTGGATGGGGCCTAGTCTTCATATTTTCAAAAACTTCCCAAGGGAGGTTGGTTGGGGGGCTTTCCCCTCTCAGTAGAGTGTCTCTTCCCTCCGAGGGCTGTTTGTGCACAAACACAAACATTTTATGCCCAGCATTTCGTGAGTGCAGACATCAGTGAGTGCTATTACAATTTCATCCTCATCCTCATCATCATCATCATGACTTATACTGCTGTTTTCTGGACCAGAGCAACTGTTGCCTTACGTATGCATTCTCCAGCTAGCCTGGACACTTTCCCTGCTGTCCCACTTGGAAACCATCTTTGGGCATGAGTTTGCCTTCCTTTCCAATTGGGCATCCTAGGCTGTTGGTTTTTTAAAATGTTTTTATTGATTTTTACAAAGAGGGAGAGGTATAGAGAGCTAGGAACATGGATTGGTTGCATCCTGCAGGCCCCCCACCAGGGATCAAGCCCTCAACCCAGGCATGTGCCCTGACCAGAAATCAAACCAGTGACCTCTTGGTTCATAGGTCGACACTCAACCACCGAGCCACCCCAGCTGGACATGTCCAACCTGGTTTTTGAGCAGGTATGTCTATGCCCCTCAGGGTAACAGCCCTTTTGAGCTGAGCAACTCGCCAGGTGTTACGTAGCTAGTTGGGATTGGGATTGTTGATTTTCCAGGCCATTGGTCAAAGTCATCTACATCTCCCCAATCAGAGGAGAGAGCGGTGTTGGCATTGATTATATAAGGTTTCTAGAATCGGGCTACCTTCCCCAGATAGAGAAAGAGCCTCTACTACCATAAGGTCAGATTACCGCCCGCCCCCCCCTTTTTTAATTGATTTTAGAGAGAGAGGAAGTGAGAGAGAGAGAGACATCAATCTGTTATCCCACTTATTTATGCATTCATTGGTTGCTTCTTGTACCAAACTCACAACCTTGGCGTATCAGGACGATGCTCTAACCACCTGATCTACCGGCTAGGACCAGATTGCTCTTCTTTTATGTTAATCCTCACCCATGTTTTTTTTTTTTTTAACAGATAGTAGAAGGGGAAGGAGAGAGAGAGAGAGAGAGAGAGAGAGAGAGAGAGAGAGAGAGAGAGAGAGGGAGAAATATCAATGTGAGAGAGACACATCGATTGGTTGCTTCCCGCATGTGTCCCGACCAGGCCAGGATCAAATTTGCAACCCAAGTACATGCCCTTGACTGGGTATTGAGCCTGCCGCTCTTTGGTATGCTGGCTGATGCTGTAACCACCGGGCAGCACTAGCCAGAGCAGGCCACTGTTCCTTTAAAGTCCAGGAGACTCTTGACCTGGTTGTCTACAAAATGGAGATGATAGTTTCCTCCTTTGCAGGACTGCCATAAAGATTCAATGAAACAATACAGGTCAAGCACTAAGCCCAGTGCCTGGCACACAGAGGAGGCGCTGCTCCTGCTATTGGTGGTGTTGTCATTGCCACTGTCATTGTCATCACCGTTCCTGTTATTATTTGTGGCAGAGCCAGGCAACTCCATGGGGACCCAATGAGCTTCAAGAAGCCCAAGCCCCAGAATTGCACAGGCTTTTCCCACAGTTGTATCACAACGGGGAGTCTGTTACCAGTGAGAGTGCTCCATCATAGCTGTCTATCTCCAGTGTCCTGTTGATAAGATCTGTTAACATTCTCAGCTCCAGGTCTGAAATATACAAAGAACGGGGTCTTTGTTGAATTCAAGCGTCTAAGGTTTAACTCCCAAAGGAAATTAAATTAGGTGCCTGGAGCTATGACAGTCTGTCGTGTTCCTTTGCGGGGAATGTCACCCTTAATATCATGCAGATCTCATGTATAATTTTACCTCGTTTAGTTTCTTTAAAATAATTTGAAGTTTCCAGCAGGAACCAGCAAATCATCAAAAGTGAAAATTAACCAGCAATTAGGGTTGGTCCCCTTTTTTGGTCCTGCCATCCCCTCTCCCAGCAGAGTACAGAATGAGTCCACAGACAGATGGTACCCTACACCCTTGGTAGTTGTTCTACTAAAAGCCGCCATAACCCACCCTCCCCACCACCAATTCCAGGCCTTTGTCAGAGGAACCGGCTTAGGACTGAACTCAGCGTTGGTGGCGTCATCTTTTTCATTATTGTAAAACAGCTCTTTGGAGTCTCACTGGGTGGCCACAGTCCCTGTGAGCCCTCCCCCACCTCCTCTCAGCCCCAGACCTATTTACCTCTGGCAGAAAAGTCTCTCCCTCCAAGTTATTTGTGGGCTAGAAATCAGCCAGCCTGCCCCAGACTGGAGCCATTGTAATATAACTGGGTTTTAGGTATGCTTATGTTTGTACTAGCATTTGAAGAGATGGCAACAAGTCCCGGAAATGCCAAAAATATGAATGTGACTTTTGTACTACTCAGGCAGACTGGTGATAACTGGTAGAGAAACCCTGGACTTGGCGGGGGGGGGGGGGGGGGGGGAAGGGGAGAGGCCCTGGTATAATAGGAGGAGGAGCAAGGAGCAAAACCCCTGTGGGAGGATCCGTGGGATTGGGAACTGGTCACTGTAGTCCCTGAGAGGAAGTCAGCCAGTCCCACTGTGCGGAACTGGGAGGAAGAACGGGGCGGGAGGGGCACCTCAGCCCTCGGCTGGGCGTTTCCCTTTGCCTGTCTGAACCTTGTCTCTGTCCTCACTTGAGGCCCGAGCTCCTCAAACAGAAACTTTAGTGAGGAGACGTGGGCCAGTGGTCGGAGCTGTTTTGTTCCTGACTGTGGGCTTACGGCCTGAAATGGAGACGTCCTTTGGCTCCCTGTCAACAAGGGTGGGGGATGTCCAGGTGGGGAATGAACTGTCTTCATTCCTATGTCCCTGGGGCTCCACCCAGGGCTGGGCCTAGCAGAGGCGCCCAGGGAATGCTGTGGAATCATGTAGATTGTTGGGCAGATGAGTGGAAGAATGAGCACATGCATAAACATCGTGTGGGTAAGAGTTCAGGATTTGAAATGAAGCAGTACTTCAGGCACTAACTCACTTCAAAGTCCAGGGATGACTGCGATATGGTCTTGTCTCAGCCACTCACAAGCTGTGTGGTGTTGGGCAGATTACATAACCTATCTGTGCCTCAGGTTCCTCATCTGTAAGGAGACGGAGGGGATTAGACTGTGAGCATTGAGCAGGATGCCTGGGGTGGTGGCTGGTGTATTCACTCGGGGTCGTTTTCGCTCATTCCTTGCTCCTATCTCTACCCCATCAACCTCCTCCCTTCGGAGTCCTCTATCCTGTAAGGTCCCTGCTGCTTTTTCTGCCATTTCACTTCATATCCCAAGCTGACTATATTCTAAGTGTTGGGATTTCTGCTCTTATCAGAGTGTACAATTCCCAGGGGAAACCTGATGGTATTTTCTCAGCTTCTTGATCCCCATCCTTCTCATAGAGGGTTTTCCCTCAGAGGAGCCCTTCACCTTGGTCTTTGCCCATTGTTTTTCTTCCTCTGGCCACACCAGGTCATTAAAAGTGGCAGCAGGGAGAGCCACAGCCTGGTGTGTAGAAGTGTCCGGTGCAGGAGGCCCCACGCACCAGCACAGGGAGGAGACGGGTGGAGAAGGGGCTTGGGAAGAGGAAGGATCCTCAGGCTGGTCCTGGTGGTGCAGGCCTGGGGTGAGCTGGCCTGGCTCTAGAGCCAGCTGGGAAAATGGCCCAGCGCCTGAGGAAGGCCGAGTGTCCTTGGACATCCCCATGGGTGTGAAACTTCTTCAGAGAGTGAGGGTGGTGGTTGTGCCAGCTGAATAGTGGGGCCAGGCAGTCCTAGACATCAGTGTATAACGTGACAAGGCAGCAGACGGGAGCAGCATAGTGGGGCAGCTGGGAGGCGAACTGGAAAAGAGGTTCCTCAAAGGAAGTTTTGAAGAACTCGGGCTCAATGGGCCGCAGGACGGGAGTTTGGGAGCTTCCGGCCTGAGAGAATGTGGATACCACAGGTGGAAGTGGGAGTTGAGAGTCCCTTTGCCCATTTGTAAAACAAGAGATTGGTGCACAGCCTCCAAATTCTCCAGCACATTCTTGGATGTACCTTCCGGGGCATTTCCAGATTCCAGACCGGCTTGTATTCCAAACCCAAACAGATTCCTTTTGTCCTACCAAGTGAGGGCGAGGGGAACATGTGACCTGCTTGGGCAGGGATGTTGGCAGTCGCTCTTCTCTGCCCCTCGGCTTTGTTCCCCCTCTGCCGCACTGAGACCTGCAGGAGGCCCCAGCTGCCCAAACCGGCATTTTCCCACCCATTTCCATCTCCCTTCTGGGGCCAGCACCGCTGCCCCTCCAGATGTGCCCACCTTCTTCCCTATTGTCCTCTGATGCCCTTCCTTCTCTACCCTAGGTCCTCTGATACTGCAGGCAGGTGTGCGGGGTTGGTGGGGGAGGCAGTCAGGATAGGCCTCAAGCACTTCCCTCTGTCCCTAGAACAGATCTCCATGGCCAGGAGAAGGTCCATAGCTTGACATTTGACAAAAAGACCATCTATTGAAAACATAAAAGTCTTGTGCTTTCTTTCCAGATTCTATTGACGGAAGAGTTTGTAGAGAAAATGTTGGAGGACTTAGAAGATTTGACTTCTCCAGAGGAAGTAAGCCTGTTTGATTCTGACAGAGGGCTTAGGTCTCCAGGAGCGGGCATGCATGTCTGTCTCTCTCTTTCTCTCTCCCTCCATCCTTCCCTCCTCCTCGCTCTCTCTCAGGTGTCCAGATAGGCTGGAAGAGAGACTCGAGATGTTAAACAGCTTTATTCTCTCTGTCTTCCCACCACCCCAGCCCTCGTAAGGACACCCGGCAAACTGAATCGCCTGCGCCTGAGATCCTCATTGAAGGGCAGCCAGGGCCTTCAGGCTAGTGCAAGAGCTCCCCAGCCCTGCTGTTTCCTGGCAGCTTCTGAACAGAAAGCTCATGTCTCTGCCAGAGAACATTCCACGGGGGAGTTCTGGTGGGCAGCAAGGGACTCCTGCTCTCGCCTCAGGCCACCCAGGAGCCACTCTCCTGACTCCCTCCCCCAGCCAGAGGCTCTCCCCTCTTGGTCTGCCTCTTCTAACCCTAGCCCAGAGCCTGAGGAGCTGGCAGGCCAGGTGGGCACTTGTGCTTTCCTTGGCTACTCCTCGGGGGTACAGGACTGGAGCCCATAATGCCCTTTGTTTTTCTTCCTTGTTCCCGGCATCCTCATTTGCAGGGACTTACCTCATCCTGGAAAGTCCCTTCGCCTCCCCTGGCCTCCTCCTCAGCAGCACCCCAGTGGGATCAGCCTTCCTGGCCTTGGTGCCCGATAGGTTAGTAGAACATTAGCAAGCTGGCCTCGGCCTCCCCTGCCTGTGGCCGAGACAGGCCCTCCCCTGGCCCTTTCTGCCGGGAAGTGTGTTTGGGGGAGAGCTCCTTCACTTCCCAGGGTCCAAGCTTTCAAGCCCAAGAGAGGCCAGGCAGGAGCTAGCTTTCAGCCAGGAGCTCCCAGCTGCCAGGCTCCTGGGCTACATAGGACAGGCGGCGCCAACATCACGGGTGCAGGATGAGTGCACAGGGCGGGCCTGTCCTGTCCGGGCTCCAGGTGGACAGGAACTTCTGAGCCTGAGGTCACCCCTAATAGGACAGTGTCTTCTCTCTCCTCTGGGATACAGCTTGATAAATTAACTCATTTATACATTCAAAGTCACCAAGCACCCAGTCTGTGCCAGCCAATCAGCCCCCACCAGCCACTGGCCCCTGAGGCCCAGCTCCCATTCAGACAGACAGAGCCAGCTGCCCAGAAGCGCTTCCGGAGAGGCCGTGTAGCACTGGGTGGCGCAGTGCCAGCTGCTGCTCCGAGCTTGGATGTTGAGGGGGTGGGAGGGGGGCAGTCCAGGCAGGAGGGACAGGAGCCAGGGAAGCTTAGGAAAGTAGGTCACTAAAAATGACTTTTTTTTCTTTCTTTCCTGTCCGGAGGCTGTCCCCATCCCTTGTCCCACTCTCCATTTAGTCCTGGCTTGGACAGTCCCCCATCAGAGGGAGGTACAGGAGCAAGCCAGGAAATATCAGGCCCGTTCACTTCCAGCCCCAGCTGGAAGGCTGAGGGCCTGCTCTTCCTCCTGTCCAGCCTGGCCTGACCTCTTGCCTAGCCCAGGACAGTGAGCGTCATGAACGGTGGACCCTATTCCCCAGTCAGTGCACATCTGTTGAGCACTAGCTGTGTGCCAGATCACATTCAGGGGCCTAGAATATAGAGGGAATAAGATGTATCCGTCTCTTTCCTCTACCCCCACCAGAAGCTCTAGAAACAAAACTGTAAGCAAATCAGTGATTCCGGGTGGGTCAGGAAGGCCTTGGACTCCCCTTGGCCACCACTGGGACCACTCTCAGGCTGGTAACCTTGGGAAGCAGATGAGGATGAGCAAGGGGGTGCAGGGTGGAGGGTTTCCTCTTCTCGAGGATGACCAGACCCAAGAAACCACCTCCAGCCATTCTGCGCCTCTGCTCCCTCTGAGGCCAAGTCAGGGCCTCCTTCCCTTGGTCCCTTTGGCCAAAGCTACAGAGGGCAGGTTTCAGTGTCCTTCTGCAGCAGCCTCAAAAGAGAAGCCATGGCAGGGATAGGTTTGCAGCTTTAGACCTCAAGCCATTTCCCTGTAGTATCTGTACCCTCCCCCTGCCCCCCCATTCTCCAGCCCCAGGGCCTCAGGGAATAGATTCCTTACATGCTTGTGGCCAGAGGCAGAACCAAGGAAGTGATCTGGAGGGAGGTCAGCACAGTCAAGAAAGAGTTAGAAAACATGCCTCCTCCAACCTGGGGTTAATTATTGGCCCGGCCAGGGTAGAGGAGGAAGGGGTCACGAACTCCAGCAGCTTGACTTCAGCCACCCACCTGGGTCTAGCTAGCATTTGAGATTGAAACCAGGCAACTAGTGGCCTGTCTTGTCCCAGCACCAGGGACAGGCCTGGATGAGAGTCCCAGCCACTCTAGGCAACCTGGGGGGAGGCAGTGGATTCTGCTAACGTGTGCACTCTGGCTCTGTTCTTGCTCCCTCCACAGTTCAAACTCCCCAAAGAGTACAGCTGGCCTGAAAAGAAGCTGAAAGTCTCCATCCTGCCTGATGTGGTGTTCGATAGCCCACTGCACTAGCCTGGGCTGGGCCCTGCAGGGGCCAGAGGAGAGCCCAGCTGCTCCCAGTGACTCCGGTGTAACAACGGTGTGAGGGAGAGTCCCACCAGTAAAAGGACAAGTGTGAGGATGACCGAGCACCTGCAGCCCGGCAGGATGCTAGGCCTGGGCAGCTGATCTCCACCTCGCCTGCAGTGCCAAGCCCACACGACCAGGCCCTGATCCCACTGGGCACTGAGTGGGCAAATGCAAACCTTCCTTTCCTGCTGCCGCCTCAAGTTCTGGTTTGAGAAGTGACTCTGGACCTTTAATGTGCTCCTCGGTCTCAGGCCTCCTCTCACCTACCCCCTGCCGAGCACCCAGCAGGAAGGAGGTGGAGTGGCCCTCGGGGTTCACTGCCCAGCTCAATCTGGGAGCCTTTGGTAGTCAAGCTCCTCCTGCCACCGAACAATTCCTCTGATTGTGTTTGGTTTTCTTCCTCTATTTTATTTTGTAGAAACCGATGGTATTTTATTGCTCTTCAGAGATGTCCAGAAGCTGTGTATATAATGTTTTTTAAACAGAACTTTATTGCCAGATGAACTTTTGCATTCTCTCAGACAAGGGCTTGGGGCTAACTCCCTCTGAGCCGCCACCAGAGAAGGTATGGTGTACACCTGCCTGCCCAGGGCCCAGAGCAGCCAGCTTCAGAGAGGCTTTTCTTCCCAGGTGGGTCTGGTGGAGCCAGGTGGAGCCTGTGGCAGGGGAGAGCTGAGATTCCCCCATGAAGCCTTGAGTCCAGTTAAGCTGGGCCAAGAAGGGGTGCTGCTGCTTCCCAGTGGACTGGACCCCACAAAGTTAAAGGACCGTCAGGGTCTCAGAGACTTGGTAGCCTCAGCCTCGTCTCCCAGGCTTGCCTGGGAGAGGGTGAGGCCCAGCACCTCACAGATCATCCCCACCTGCCACTCAGGGCCTGGGTCTCCAGCTCTTTGACCACTCCTGTCCCATTTCCTCATCCCCTGGGCCTCCCAGCCTCCAGGCTGCAGGACTCTGGCTTATTAAAAATGGAAAAAGTAACCCTCTCAACGGCTTTCACTTTGATTTTGCAAACACTGCATTCTACCACTCTTCTATCCTCCCTGCATCCAGTCATTTCTCATCTTTCCTTCCCCATTCCTGTCCTGCCTCTGGGCCTCTCTGGGTCCTTAATCCCTTGCCCCAATACTGAAGTTCTCATGGCCTTCCTCCCAGAAGCCAACCTATTTCTGGCCTGTGGTTTTGGGGTCCCTCTTGGATGATCTCCCACTTCTGTCCTGAAATCAACAAGCCCCGTTCATGCCCTTTTACCCCCAACTCTAGGGACTGCTATTTCAAGATCACTCTTCAGGCCTGTCCAAAGCAAAGCCATTTTGTCCGTCAGGGATCACACAGGACTATGCTCTGCCCCGTCCACACCACCATACACACCAGGAGGCCACAGGAGGCCCACGGGTACAGGACCCCTCTGATGAGAGATCCCGACAAAGCTGCCTCCAGGAGCCATGAAGGCAGTGACCGTCTCTCCAGGGAGCAGCAGTTGGACTTCCAAGGAGCCTGGCCCCTTCTCTGCACACACCCTTAGGGCTACCTGGTTAATTCCATCAAACTCAGAGCTTCAAGGCAGATCAGCCTGGAGTATGGGAGAGATGGACTCCAGGCTCCCAGCAGCCAAGGTGCAACCCTCTGGACCTGACGTTGGGAGCAGCTGTGCCTTCTCAGAACTTTTCAAAAGGACGTTTCCTGGTCTCCGTCTGCCACAGCATCCCTGCCTTTGAAGCTCTTGTCTTCCGATGTCTCGTGGCCAAAGAGGTGCCATCACCTTTCCTCCTTTCCTTGCCACCTGACCTGCTCTCCACCAGTTCTCTTTATGGAACCCTGCCTCCACCTGCCTGGTTTGGCGATGGGGAGGGGACTATTTTATAAGCTTTGTCATCAGTATGGGAGGCGGTAGGTGAGCTCTGAGACGATGAGCCCATGAAGCCTATGGCCCCTGCCTGCCCATGTTGGGAACCTCCAAGGTCATGCTGGGGCCAGGCCTCCATTTCCTTTTCCTACAGGGCAGTGGCTCTGGGGCAGTGGCAGGGCACCCGCTGTCTCTGACCACACCTCCTTTCCCTTGTGTGGCAGTGCCTTCCCAGGGGTTTGCCATTGAGCTGGCTGGTGAGACAAGCAAGGCTGACCACATACTGTGCTTAGCACAGCACCTGAACCGTGGTGGGTGCTCACTAAATGTATCCCTTCTTTCCCTCCCTGCAACCCCTTCAGAGCCCTGACCTCATAGTGAGGGGGAGGTAAGAAGCTTCCCTCCATCTGCCTCTTCCACAAGCTTCCCTGAGGTTTGCCTGGTCCTACCCCACCCTCCCAGTCCCTGGTGCTAGGAAGGGGCACCCCCGTGCTGTTTGCCTGCTACACAAGGCAGACTTCTGTGGCTCCTCAGGTCCAGTATGGGCGGCAAGAGGACCACAGACCCAGCTGCCACTCGGAGCGGGTGGAGAGGCTCATGCAAGGTCTCAGATGTGGCCAGGGAGCTGGCACTTTCCTGTCCTTCTCTTCCTGTTCCATAGGCCAGGCTCCAGCGCTGGGACTGGGAAGCCTTGGGGAGAGTCTAAAAGGGCTAGAACGTTTTAAAAATAAACACAGGGTCTTGGGACTGGGTTTTGAGATTGAGTTGAGGAGCAGGGAAAAAATCTAAAAGTTGGTGCCCCTATGGGGCAGACCAGTAAAGAAATCCCTTGACTATTTTTTTATTCAGTTGTGTTTCCCCTCTGGCTTCCGGGGCCTCCGTGCCAGGTGAGGGCCCTGTGTCCCTGTAATAAGTGAGGAGCCCTGTGGAGAGAGCCCTCCTTTTGTACAAGGACCTGAATGCTGCGACGAGCAGGCTTTTGTAAACATTTCCATTAGTTTCTAATGTCATTGGCGACTCAGTTCCTACAGGCTGCAGCCAGCCAGGAACTTTTGTAAGAACGTTGGCTGCCTCACTTAGATGTCGTTTCCTTCTTGCCCCTCTTCCTCTGTGTAATCTAAGTGCATTAAACATATTTACAGAAGTGCTGGGTCTTGTGCTCCTTTCTGGCTGCCTGCAATAGGGGAACGGGGAGCCCAGGGCCCTGGCAGAGGGGGTGGATTGGACTTGGCCTTTTAGAAGCTGGGATCACTTGCACACCTTTCCCGCCGCCCCCCCCCCCCCGTCCCCCCCTTCTTCCCTCTTAGGCACAAATCGCCTAAACTCTAAGGGACCCCACAAGACTTGCAACCAGGGGTGCAGTGGGCAGTGGCAGCTGGTCCTGGGCTGACCCCTGAACTTGCCTCCCAGGCCGCCTTTTCTCTGACTTCTCAGTGAGCCAAAGCAGCCCCGCCTAGGTCTGTCCTGTTGCTTCTTCTGTCTTAAGTCCTTCCTGTTTCACTGTCCCCAGCTTTAATAAACGTACTCTCAATAAAAAGAAAAGAAGAAGCTGGGGTGGGGAAAGGTCCTGAAAACTGTTGCTGAGAGTGTGCGTGGGGGCAGGGGTGGCAAGGAACACTGTCATGCAGCTGGTGACTCCTCAGTCACGCAGAAATGACTCTGCAGGGACAGTCTCTCTTTTACTGGTTTTGAATTCCTCTCAGGTCAAGAGGGTAGGGGCATGGAACACAGTCTGGGGAGATGAATGGGTGGGTAAAGGCTCTTCATTCCTCTTCTATCTTCCTCTCACCAAAACCCTTTCCCCTCAGTTTTCCTCACCTCCAGTTTGGAGTCCTCGCTCCCACTTCCAGCTGGGCCAAGAGACAGCCACTCCCCTCACTAGACTGCGAAATCCCACCTCCTAATGCACAGCCTGGGGCCCGATGCAGGAGCAGCCTCAGAACCAGCCACCCACCAGACACTGAGGCCCGCCCACCCTTCCTAGCAACCTCTCTCTCGGGGCCTGGTCTGGGTGAGGAGGTGGGTGGCTCTTCCTCCCCTGGATTGCCCAGCTCCTGTCTCCAGGGCATGGTGTGGAAAACAGTTCAGTGCCCAGGGGAGAGACAGCAAGGGCCTGGGAACTTACAGACAGGCAGGCGGTTTGCTCCGAGACAGGGTTCCTGGGCCCTGCAGGACTGCTCTGTGTCCTCACGCCGCCGTCTTTCCCTTCCTGCGAGGCCTAATTGTCCTTGGGGGTAGCAGGGTCTTTTCTGTTGGTGCCTGGGATGAGATGCAGCTACAGCATCCAGGCGGTTCTACTGGGGCTGGTGGCATAGGTCCTGGGGGCATCACAAGAGGGCAGGGGACGGGTGTCAGCTCCTGTGAAGGGACGGTTCTGTGAGAACTAGCCGTATGGGGACCTTACCCAGGAGGAGGACAGCTCTCCTCCTTCGGCCTGTGACCTCCTACTGAACTGTGGCTGGTCCCTGGAGCAGTGGAGCAGTTCCTGTCTGGGGCTCTCGGTCCCTCTGGCAGTCAGAGCAAGGGACCTGGGAGGGTCTGGAGCCAGGCTGACAACCCCAGATGGCCCAGGCCATACCTTTTCCCCTTTCTCCTTGGAGACCAGGGGTGGGGGTTCTTGTCTAATCCTCCTCCTCTGACTAGCCAAGAGGATCCAGGGTCAGTGAGGTTCTTGCTCCAAAGAGTCCAGAATAGCAAGATCCTGTGCTTGGGTGATTTCCAGAGACAGGACTAGGCTGGGGTTGTTTCTGGAAAGAGAAGGGCTCCTGGGGGTGAGGGGATAAGAAGCCCTGGCTGGGGGGCGAGGGTGCCCACAGGCTCCAGGGCCAGGGGCTGGGGAGCCTGAGAGATTTGCCAAACTGGCCAGACAAGGAGGAGAATGCATGCTGAAGTGACTCAACCCTGCCTGACAGACACTGAGGCAGCTGCTGGCTGCAGAGGGGTAGCAGGTGGGGAGCCAGGGTGGGGTGAGGGGAGTGATTTGCTGGGCAGGAGTTGTGTCCCTAGACTGCAGGGGTAGGTCAGGATGTGGTCTGGGAGGGACGGTCAACTCCAGGCCCCTTCTATGGGAGGCATGGGACTGGCCAGTCCCTCCTTCCTTAGTGCCTGAAAGCCTTTGGGAGAGAGCTAAGGGCAGGATGAAGGAAGGAGCCGGATGATGCTGGTGGCTGCCCGTGGTTGTGTGGCATAGCTCTCTGAGTAACTGGAGGGGCAAGGGAGACTTTGAAGTTGTGATGAGAGTAGTGGCCTTATTGGGGCCAGAAAACTGAGGGCAACACCTCTGCTCCTTTGTTTTTCCAATTGCACCCATTGCCAGCCCATCTCCCATCTCAGTACTGAGAGCCCTGAAAGGAAGGAGAATGGGCCCTCTGGGTCACAGCCTTTATAAGACAGACGAGGAAGCCTCTACAATCCCACTGTGGAAAGGGGAAGAACTAGAAAATATGTTCACTCACTTGTTCTTTCACCAAACCTATAACAGGCACTCTCCCACATGCTGGGAGGCTGACACAGGCCTGCCTGGCCTTAAGGAGTTTATAATGCAGTGAGGGAAAACAGACAAGAAACAATGGCAAGGAAGAGCCATAAAAGAGGAAGAAGTAAGCTGCTTTTGGTCCTACCCCAGCCTCACCAATTATTGTCAGTGTGACTAAGGCTAACTAACTTGTGCCTTAGTCTTTTCATCTGCAAATGGATACTTGCTTCATAGAGTTTGTGCAAGGATTATATGAGATAATGCATACAAGATGCCCAGCACATAGTAAGTGCTCAATTAGTGTTAACCCTTTATTAAAGGGCTATGCTAGGGTATACACACCGAAGGTGCCCAACTCCATCTAGGGAGATTTTAAAAAGGCTTCCTGGCCCTAGCTGGTTTGGCTGTGTGGGTAGAGTGTCGGCCTGCAGACCAAAGGGTCCCAGGTTCGATTCCAGTCAAGGGCACATGCCTGGGGTTGCGGGCTCAATCCCTAGTAGGGGGCATGCAGGAGGCAGCCAATCAGTGATTCTCTCTCATCATTGATGTTTCTAGCTCTCTTTCCCTCTCCCTTCCTCTCTGAAATCAGTAAAAATATATATTTTTTAAAAAAAGTCTTCCTGAACCCAGCCGGCGTGGCTTAGTATGAACCAGGAGGTCACGGTTCAGGGCACATCCCCAGTGTGTGGTATGCAGGAGGCAAGCAATCGATGATTCTCATCATCGATATTTCTCTCTCTCCCTCTCCTTTCCTTTCTGAAATCAATTAAAATATATTTTAAAATAAACAATGAAAGGCTTCCTGAAAGAAATGACATTTAAGTCAAAACCTGAAGGATGCTTAAGGATGAACTGAGCAAAAGAAGAGAGTTCAGTGCCCAGAGTTCAAACGCTCTCCTGGCAGGCAGAACAACAAGGGCAAAAGCCCCAAAACTCTTCTTGGGAACTGTAGAGTCCCAGTTGCCTAAAGTATATGGTTTCAGGCATCAAGCTTTCATTTTGAACCACCTCCTCCCTTTCCCACCCCCAACCCCACCCCCGCCAGATTGTATAGGACTTGCAGGTAATTATAAAAGTTTGATTTTT